CAAGCCTGGAAAACCAGCCGATGACAATACCGGTAAAAAATAAAAATAAATAAAAATAAAAGGAAAATATCGATATAAAAATATATAAAAGAAATATATATATAAATATAAAGGTATCCACCTTGGGATAAAGAATGTCCTAAGGCGCCAGCCGAAGAACTTACCGGCAATATAAGAAAATAGTTATATAAATTACACAAAGATACCTCCTTGGGATAAAAAAAATCCTAAGGCGCCAGCCGAAGAAATTACCGGCAACATATTCAATGAAAATTTTAAAATAAACATTGATAAATATATTACCTTGGAAAAACCCTAAAGTTTGAGCCGAAGCAACTATCGGCAATATATAAATCATGAATCAATTCCAATATTATTTTACATGTGAAGAATGAGGCTCCTTAGTAGCTTTATTAAAATAAAGAGGAAAAGGGGATACATTTAGTATCAGCCACTTCATTGTATTATAAAAAGAAAGTGGGAATCCGAACAATTGTTGAAACTCCTATATGGAGTAAACAATGTTTATATCTAACTTTCGTGGAGGATGTCATAACAATAATATATTAAACCCTAATGGACAGAATAAAAACAAGTTAGAAAATGTATTATTTTAGCTAGACCCACAGCTACTGAAGACTTTTCTGCTACCGTCAAAACTGTCTCTATAATAATTAAAGTATCCAAGAGTAAATTAATAAATTAAAAATTCCAATATTTCTAATAATAAATATTCCCTATTTAAATTACCGAGCTATATACGAACTTGACGATCAATGACTATGACTAATGACTTCATATAACAAGAAAAAATACAAAAAAACAAAAAGATATATATAAAAAGATAATAATTAAGTAAAACAATTAATTAAGTAATAAATACAATACAATGAATAAATCCTTTCAATTTATTTTAAAGAAATTAGTTTATAAGGTTATCATTTTGTTACACATATGATAGTATCTATATTTGACTTCATAAAATATTCAATATATATAACGTACACATAAAAGAAAATAAAATATAAAAAAACACACCAATTGGCGAGGCCCCAATTCTTAAGAAAGAGGGGGGTACTGATATGAAACAAAATTATTTAATGTTTAAATTAACTAATATAACAAATATATATAAATATATACAATATGAATCTGACAGAGATTCCGAAAATTATTTAATGAAGTATCTTTAAAAGCTAATTTAAAATTACATAAAAATTAATATATTTCTTTTTCTTCACTTAATTAATTAATAAAATTCTTAACCACAGAACTGTGCCTAACCAATAAATAACTTATAGAAGCCTAACGATCCGTTTATAAATTTCTTTCATAGTACTAGTTATCATTCACTAATAAACAAATCTTTGTCAAATTCTAAAATAGATATAATAACTACGACTGACCGAATATATGGCCAAATATTTAAATATCTTTACCATAAAAAATTATAAGCTTACTAAACATTTTCAAAAACAAATGATTGTAACTACTAATTAAGTTTTACATAAAAATTCATGAAAACAGCAACAAACAATTAACAACCAACTCATTAATATTTAAAGCCCTATTCAGTATGAAAAAATAATTCAAAATTTTACAAAACCCAGATTTAATAGTAATACATATTACATATCCTATTACCAAAACCAATTGTAAATTATATGAAAGTAGAGCTATAAGTAAAAAAGATAGCAAATTATTAATTGAAAAAGAAGTCGTAAGATGTAACAATATATTTCAAAATGTTCAAATTTGTAAAATAGAATTAAGTAATAAATCACCGTAAAGCATCATGCACTAAAATAAAAGAAAAGAATAGAAATTTAATGTAACAATAGACAATATTACATATCTAAATTAAACAAAAAAACAATTGTAATTAATAATCATTTAAAGATGAACCATCCAAAATTTTATGATAATAAAATATATTGTAAATCATAATGAAGAATTTAAACTTGAAAAACCGAAACATAATTTCAAGATCAACGCAACGCTTTATTACCTCAGCAGCAACACTCTTGCAAACAATCATCATCATCGTGTACGACAGTCATAAACTGAGCAGACGCATGAAACAGTCCAGACATAAACAAATTTTTCAAAACCTAGACGTAAACAAAATTCTTCAAAACACACAAACGTAAACAACCCGATGAAACCATTGCAAAAATCAACCACCAAATAAATCAGCAAGCAACTTCAAAAAGAAAAAAAACAATAGACAGCCACCGCATAAGAGCAGCCACTTTATCTCATCTAAAGAAACGGGACGTTTCTCTTTAAGAAAGAGGGGTGTTATCGCATGCTCTCACCTTATAGGGTTAAGTATAAAACAGTAAGTTATCTTGTAAGAGAAAACATAGAGAACAAGTTAGAATTTAAATTACGATCTAAGCAAGCTTTGAGTAAAAAGCTTTATTTGTAAGCTCAGATCGTTTGAATATAAAAGCAAGAGCATCGCTCACTTTGTTGGATTTTGTCGGCTAAGCGTTTTAAAGTAAACATCGTAATATGTAGAACGTTGAAGTTTTCATTTTTAGTTTTAAGTTAGTTTTAAGTTTTCATTCTTTTGTACGGTTTTAAGAGGGTTAGAAGCGAATTCTACCCATTAATAAATATATCTTTTTTAAAACATATAACCGAACTCGAATGAAATAATTTGCATATTAATACATTTTTAATACATTTTTAATTAATACATTTTTTTTTTATAAGAACAAGCGTCTTTTCCAGAAATTTTGGAAAATTATTCAATATTTATTGTGTCACTGTCGGGGTGCATGTAATGAAGTGTCGATTTCTTAAGGGATTTCTACTTTGAACAATAAGCATAACTGGTCATAGGCGACTTAATAAAATTTTAAAAGTTTTTCATTCAAACCAACTAATTTACCAAAGACAGTTAAGGGTAAATACGCCAATAGTATTATAACTGATCTATATAATGTCTGTATTATTATTGGAGGTTGTGTCAGTTCTGTGTAAGTCTCAAACTACATTTGGGACTGCAATAATAGTAATAATATTTGCTTCACTGAGACAGTTTTAAAAATTCGATCGTTTCGAGATCTACAATGTACATTCGAGATATGTACATTTTAATACATATTACTTTATTTCATTTATGTCAGATTATTTTTATTCCTTTAAGAGCTAGTATTTTTTGAAAAAACATGGAAAAAACGTGAAATATTTTTGAAGTTCTCTAAACGTTTATCCAAATAAATAGTTCTACAATCAGTTGCTCCAGAAACTAAAAATGGGTCCCCATACGTACTTTTACTGCAGGATTATATTACTCAACCTTTTTGGATTTGAAACTACTCTAAGAGTAGATTAGTAGACATTTTATATAAAAGTTATAGAGTTTTCGATTGGTAAATCTGGATTCAACCCAGATTAAATCTTGATCTGTCAAATTTGGTTGCTTTATATTTCAAAAATACATATATCGAATCAAATACCACTTTATTTGTTAAGCCATATAAAATACTAAATTGCACTAAAATTGCACTAACAGTGAAGTTACAACAGATTAAACAATCGAAAGGATTATAAGTGATAAGTTTTGCACAAAAATGTCGAAGAGCAATCAAGTCGTCTCACTGCGTTTAATCCGCTGACTGAAAACTTGATAATTCTTGCAGATAGTAGACAGTGATTTTATTTGATGGATGTCAAAGTGATCTAAAACAGAGCAGTGTTAAACGAGACAATTTTCCGACAGCTGACGACATGGTCATAAAAACATATATTTAATAATCTGATGAGTAGTTAGCGGAAGTCAGCATATCTTGTTTAATTTTAAAATGCATACACTGGAAACCATTTATTTTAACTATCTGAATATATGGTAATTCCTCAATTTCACAACATGTAAATTTTCTTAAAAACTTTAAAACCTACTAAAATTAAAATATATATTAAATTTTATTTGAATTATTAATATTTTTTTTTAATTTTAGCTTAAATTTTGCAGACACATTAGTTTTGACCGTTTTTAATAGTATTACCAAAGAAAATATCAAATCTGATTTATATGAAGAAATGACGGGTTTATATAAGGAATTCCCTGATATAGGTTTTAGTACATTTTTAACTAATAAAGCAACTGAAACTATTGTTTATGCAAAAGGTATGTTTCAATAAAGATTTTAATTTAATTTGTTTGTAACATCTCCTTTATTGACAGGTCCTTCGGCTTATCTACTTAATGGATTGCATGAAGAGACTTATATGGCACATGTCATATCTTATGCTTTAAAAATGGGTCCATTTTCAAAGTCAATGTAATTTTAAGAATTTTTAAAAGTTATTAGAATTAAAAAAATATTTACAGTACTAAAAAGCAATTATTATATACGTAGTGTTTTTTTAAAATTGAGATTAATAACTACTTCAGACATGGAGGTATATTTAAAAAAACTATCAATGTTAAATAATATTATATATATTTAATAATAACTATATTTTAATAAAAAATACTTTTTTATTTAATTTAAATAAATATGAGCACAAAAAAAAAAGCATTGAAACGTTTAATTTTGAAGTAACACTACTTACGCTAGGTATACATACACAGTTATTCCGTCATTGATTCTACACAAAAGGTCTTTAGAACCGGGCTATTAGAGTAGTAAGTAAGACAATTAATGACACAATGATGTAATGACACTAGGATCTTTAAGCCATTATCTGCCTCTTAAAGATGTGTTTACCTATTATTTCAGGAACTTTAGAAATAGAAAACACTATCTAATGGTAATTTTGTTCCCGCTAAGATATCAGTTTCAGAGCTCTAGGACGATTATTCAGTTTACAGGGTCTATTGAAATGATATATGAAATGAAATGGTATATGATTTCTACCTATTGTTATAAATCGATTGTAAAAAAACATTCGCTAATATAAAAGCTATTTTAGCGCCAGAATTCCAGTGTTTCCATAATACAGTAGTAAACTTTATTTTTCATACAATATTTATTTTCAATATTACGATCTAAAATCTCTGTTTTTTTGGGACCCAGTTTTATAATTACAGGTTCAGTAATAGGAAAACTACGGTTTCATATAGTTCTTTTAAAATTGATACATATACATCTTTATATAGTGTATTTTTCCGGTATTTTATTATTGGTTCATAACGCGAAGCGTTGATAATAAAGGCTTTTAAGAAGTTCCTAAAAAAAACGTCCTGAACTATAATGACAAGCTTATTTTCTTAGATAAGACACTTATATACACCCTTAGATTTTAAAAATTTCCTCACTATCATCGCCGTTTTTCTATTTGAAATAGATTTCTTGACATAAGACATACAATTCTATATACTTATACTTATGTTCTATATACTTATACTTATATATACTTATACTTATGTTTCCACTTGTCTCATTTAGGCGTGCTGCTTATTAAGGCCTTTAATGAGGATAATTTCTATACAAAAAGCTTTCATATGAATCAGATCATTATAAATATATCAACTGAATTTAATGGAACGGCCGAATAGTAACTTGATTAAGACAAGTAGTTTAAGCTGCAATGGGAACATGATATAATTCTAACAACATTCTAACAAATTCGATGGTAATTAATTGTTTTAATTTCAATCTTAATATTTATCTTTAATATTTCTTCAAACTGTACATAAAAAAATGTAAAATAATTTAAAATTAATTTATTTAGATTTTCCATAATTTAACTAGTATTTGAAAAATTGTTCTATATTTTGAATTTTTTAAACTTTTTCTTTAAAAACTATTTAAATTATTAACAATATCTGCACTCATCGACGATTTGTTATTAACCCAATTAAATGTATCAGCTGTCGATGATGTACCAGCAATATTACCCAAACTTGTAGACGTTTGTTCTGGAACCGCCGGTACATTCATTGCATCGGAACTAACACTCATGCTAGAGGTAACGGTTGAAGATAGCGCTATGCGCGGCATTGGACGTAAAGCTTTCGGTCATTTTACAGTAGCGGGTAATAATGTCGGAGCAATTGGACGTGGTAAATAATTATTAACTGCAGAACTCAGGTTATTCAAATGATTTGCTTGCACATACTGAAAAGCTGAGGAACGATCCAACTGTTGTGATAGATAAAACTCACTTAAAGTATATAAACGTCTCTGATCGAATGGTGGAAAACCGAAAGGTCCAAATCGTGCTGCATAAGGCTTAGTTGAATGATGTTGTCCAGGGCCATGATAAAGACCAGGACGATTTGTTGTATGGGTCATAGCATTAAATGAGTGCTGTTGAGAACTGTGAGCATTGCCGAAACTATTACCACTTGCTGTATTTTTGAATATATCCAAATTTTTTAAATTCTGCAACATGTCATGTGAGGCGCGATGTTTCTTAAGATAAGCGTGTCTGAAAATAAATAAATATACCTGTTGAAGAAAGTTAGTGAATACCAAAAACTTATAAGCTTACCTTCGAAATGTTTTACCACACTGTGAACATGGAAAAATGCCGTCGCTTGTTCCATCCTCACTAAGACTCTTATCATGTATTATATTCTGATTGTTTGAATGTTCATGCCGCTTCTTATGTTGGTTGTTCGGTAATAACTCTGACTTTGGCTTGTGCCAACGTCGATGTGAAGCCAAATTTGCAGGACAATTAAATACCTTAACGATGTAACAAAAGTAGTATACAATAAATTATTTCAATAGAAATAAATTTCATACGGTTTTACCTTCTCACACTCGGAGCACTTATATTCTATATGAACAATACGCGGACAACGATGTTGTGCCAGCATAAATGCGTCATCATACAATGTCCGACATAGTTGACATAAGTACGCGCCAATCTTATTATCAATGCTGGCCAAAATCGCCTTTGCTTCTTCAGTTATTTCGACCACATTAAAAGCTGGATCAATGTCACCTTTACGCACAACCAATTCCTCATCATCGCGCAGTTTTCGTATTATAGTGCCTGAGACAGGACTTAAAGTTTCCTCGTCTAAGGACATATGCTTACGCAACTTCATGCGTTTTCGCTCTGCTTTATGTGGCTTCAAGCAAGGAGTACGTGGCAACGGAATAGAATAACCTTCTTCCTGTTGTGGCTGCTCCTTGACCTGTGGTACTTCTTCTTCTGTTGCCGCTGTATTTTTACGCGTAATTAATTCTGTGTAAGTTTTTTCTGACGCATATTTACTTATCAAACTCTCATTCTCGACTTCTTCTTTGTTGTGCAGCTGCTGGAAGTCTCTATCAAACAACTTTGCCAAACCGTCGATGGCTTGATTGTGTAGTTCTTCATTCTCATAGACTAACTGATTACGTGTTAATACTTTGTCGGAGTTTTCATTTTCGACACTGACTGCTTGGCTTTGTAGACGTAAAATGTTGACAGGATTTAATTCATCATCATCGTCGTCGTTACCAACAACATCTACATCACCCACAGCATCTTCATCTTCATCGCCATCATCATCACCATCAGCATCTTCATTGTAGTCATGTGAACTGACAAGTGTTTGGCTTTCTTCATCCTCGGTCAACACAATTGTTTCATCGTCCACATAAATGGTATCGAAGCTATTGTGAGGCTGGGCTATTAATTCCTGTTGTTCTTGTTGTATTTGTGGGTCTTCTGGTTGTTGTTCTTGTTGCTTCGATGGTATTGTTACTAGCATTGGTATTCTTGACAAATCTGACATTTCAACAAAATTATTTTTTGTGCTGTGCAAATTATTTTTATAGTCACTGCCGGTAATTGTTTGAAGTGATGTCCCATCCCGCATTACATAGTTCAGATTGCTAAAGTAACCACCAACACTAGAGCAAACATTTGCCAGTGTTGTTGTTGCTGTTGTTGTTGGTAGCTGCGACGGTATTCCTGGTATCTGTGGACGCCACAAATAATTTTCTTCCGACATCAATCTCGAGCGTTTTCGAGGTGGAGACGGTGTTGACGGTGGCGTTATTGGTATAACGTTTGTAGCACGTAACGACAAATCGAGTGGCGATAACAAATGCGAGAGAGGGCGGCGACTAAATTGAGGAAATGTTTCATTGATTGCCGGTAATGTGCGACATTCCGGATAATGTTCGTTCAACATTTTTACTACTGCTGTTAGTTATATGAAAAATAGATTAATAGATTAAAAAAAAATGCTTTAAAAAAATTACATTAAAAAAAAATAATATTAAAAAAAATTATGTTAGTAAAAAGAACTTCATTTTTGCTAGTCAAACATTATTATTAATCTTACAACATCAAGGAGTGGAAAATTAGAAATATTATCAATGAAGGAATAATACACTTTAAGGCTACTTTTAAGGCTAGAAGTGTTAAAAAAAATTTATAAATTTATATTTTAAGGAACGGTTTCATCTTTTTTTATAATAAAAATATAACTATATTAAGTATTTTATGCGATGACTTTAGTAAAAATATATTATAAACGTTTACATTCTGTTAAAATTTTATGAAATTTGTTAATAAAATAATTACTTATAAATAAAGGTATATGTTGTCTGCTTTTGATTTTATACCTATACTAGATCGGTTTTGATCTAGTAAAGAAAATTTTTTTTCCGTAAGCTGGCTTTGAAATGGACTTAAGATGCTTAAGCGACGGCATTAATTGTCTTAAAATGCTTACCAACACATATATAAGTTTTCCAAAACAAATCTCATAGGCCTAAGTCTGGATAGTGCGATGATTATTTCATCATACCTACATTGACCAATAACTTGCACCAGATCCAATGAAATAATAATAAAAATTATACACTATCAGGGCTTATAGAAAGAATTCCAAACACACAACGTAACAATAAATTCATACAACAATCAACTTCATATTCATATATATACGAATTTAGACTGGTGTTTTTCATTGGAACCCATTTTTCAGGTACCGTTTAAAAATGTATTGTCTTATTTTGACAGCATACAATACAGTATCAACTGTTATCATTTTATGCTGATGAGATAAAATTGTGAACTATCTCGTTGTTAGTTTTAATCAACTCAAATGGTAACCTTGCTATAAATTTGTAACTGGTTTTCATTATAATATATATTAGGTTCCCATATTCACGCTTTTAACAAGCGCAGAAAACAAGCGTTGATATTCTATCAACATCAAAATATTGGAACTAGAGTGACGTTTATGTGAATGTTTTTTGATATATTATTAAATATAGTTACTGTTAATTATAGCAAAAATATTTAAGCCCAAAACCAAATCAAAACCAAGTCAAATTTAATTATGTCCGGTTAACTACGAATTTCTATTAATACATTACTTAAGTATTAAGACTAGTAGTAAACTTTTATAAGAATATATTTAAAATATAAAAAAAAATTTCTTTTAGCTTCTACTATCAAGCCTTATGTTTTTTTTTTGTTACTTGAAGTCGAATTTTC